AGAGATAAGTTTTATTCATCAAAAATATCCACAATATATTTCCATGAATAGGAAGATATTACATTAGCTAAACTCATAATTACAGAAATGAAGGAGTAATTTTATATATATATATATATATATGTGTGTGTGTAAGCAAATATATGGATATAGATCCGACAGTATGAAGAAAAATATATATGGAAAAAACAAACAAAAATCCTTATATACAATTATGCTGTTTTAATGTTAATATGTTAACGTCGGACGTTTTGGTCTAATAAACCATCTTCAGGACATATTCATAAATTATATCATTATCAATACAACATGACAAAGACGATGTACATGAGAACAAGCGATGTCCGACGTTGACATATTAACATTAAAACAGCATAATTGTATATAAGGATTTTTGTTTGTTTTTTCCGTACATATTTTTTCTTCATATATATATATATATATATATATATATATATATATATATATATTTAGATAGATAGATAGATAGATATGGGCACTGTCTGTGAGAAGAAACACCATGACACAATTCACTCTGCCAGAAATTTGGAAACGGTATGCTGTACTACTTGGCATTTGTGCTGGAAGCTCCAATATGAACATTTCAGAGTGATTAGATGTCAATCTGAGGATTGGGGAGAGTGCAGAGGATTTGGAAAGAGTACACGAGTCTAATGGTGATTACAAAAGTATAGCAGATCGACAAACTCACTTGGATTGCTCTGATAAGAAAAGAAAAGGAAACATGAATTTGTTGGTGAGAGCCTCAAGACTTAACATGGAAGCCCACACCAAGTGCATGGAGGTGGTAGTACTGCCCTGGGTCAGGAGGGTGGATGCTGGAAGACTATGTCTGGCAACAGACTCTGCACCATGCTATACAAGCAGGAGAACCCAGTCATAGCTGTCAAACAATTTCTGTGACCACATCACCCCTTATATCTGGACACCTAACTCCCCAGACTGCAACCCCCTTGATTATTATGTGCTGGTCACAGTTGAGCAAGAGACCAATGAAACTTCTTGCAACACCAAAAATGAACTGAATGTTAGGATTATGGCAGTATTCAAAAACTTAAACAAGGAAACTGTTCAGAAGAGATGCAAGAGATTCTGAAGTTATCTGAAGGCCATGGTTGAAGCCAATGGCGATTTTATTTAATAAATTTACTCTTTAGTATTTCAAGATATTTTTGTGTAATTTTGATAAATATATTTATTAAAATGAGATGTCATTTTTATTTTTGTATAATTTAGATGGCAATTTATCCATTACACACTGTATATGTTCCCAGCTTTTCTGGAAGGATATGTTAACTTTCAAAATGAACTAAAAATTATAAATAAATGAACAGATTTTTAATAGTCACACATTTTCATTTTCTTTCATCATGAGAAATGCCAGCATATTATTTAAGCATATATGCAAATACACACACAGGTATTTCTTTCTTTTGCTTTTGGATCTGATGTAAAACTAGAAAGGTGAAATGAGTAATCAAATCTGGTTTCAATGAAACAGTTTTTCATTTGTCGAATTTCTTCAATAAATTCTCATATAAAAATTGTCCGAATGAAAAACATCAGACATTTTTTTTTAAATTTATATCCTGAAAAGAAAAAAAAATATTATAATGTGCGAAATTATATAAAAAACTTAACCATATAACCTTGTCAGTCATTTTCAATGAAACTTGCTTATATTATAAAGCATGAAAACTAACTTAGTCAGGTTGGTTGACAGGACAATCCAGGGATAAAGTGACATCTGCCTCCCACAATATCTGAGCTACAACTGCACCACACTGCGTTCTACACCCCCCCCACTGAGTCAGTGGAGTAGTGTAAGGAAACTAAGTAAACAAGCTGCCAACTAGGAATGACAAAGAATTTATGAATTTTTAGCCAACCAAACATCTCAGAGTTAAAGAAAACTTTTATTTTAAATTATTTCTATAGATTAAGTCCACATTTAAATTCTTTTGTAACTTTTTATACCAACTATTTTGTTGTTCCTGTGCTATCAGGATTTAACACAGATGTCATAACATTTTCAATATAAATGATTTCATCAGGCTTTGGTATTTTTTAATGTGGGACCAATGACAGAAAATGTCACTCCAAAATCCAAAGCGGCATTAGAATAGCGAAAGATGCATTTGGAAAGCTAAGGAAATAAGGAAGTAAGAGGGATAGTGAAAAATGCCATCCAAAAGCTAAGCAAAGTATTATGAAACAGGAAAACTTCATCAGAAAGAAAGAAAAGAGTGCTGGACAATTATGCAATATCAATCCTCCCATATGGCAGATTTTGAGCAACAGATTATGTGGTTCCAGAGAAGAATGTTTAGATGTTGAGTGAGTAGCCATGGTCAAATGCAAAATAAATAAAAGAACTGTCCAACAAACAGTAATAACAAAGTTTGCAATAAAAAGAAAAGAAAGAACAGGGCAAAAATGAAACAATATCAAGTAAGCAAATATATACAAGGCAAATTAGCAGGTAATAAGGCAAAAAGTTCTTAAACTAAGAATTCGCGTCAACACACAAAAGCAAGGCTGGACAAGCAAATGCAGTGGTCTGTCTTCTAGACAAAACATATCTGGACTGAGTCATGTCAAACTGCAAACCGGCCTATTTTATTGGCTAAGAAAAATATCCCAGCATGCATTTTTGGACTTCTGCCTATAATAGAGGAGGGGGAAATGTTCTGCTGTCATTCCTATTATGATTGAAATCAACATGAGTATAGTAAGAAAACAAACATTACTAAGAACTGTGTACGATAAGAAATTGTGGAGAGTCATGATCACCCATGTCCTGAAGGATGTGAGGCATTTGTTATTTTAAATTCTCATCAATTTGAAAGAGGATAACAATGCTGAACTGAAATTAAGTAAGCATTGGGATTATTTTTAATTGCTTAGCTCAAATAGTAGAAAAACGAAAAAATATTACTAAACTTTTATGCAATAACGGTCCTCCTATCTGGCAGTAAATGCTAGTCAATTTATTCACAGATGAAGAAGGGACTTGAAGCAACAGAAGAATGCTGGGAATAACATAGACTGTCTATGTGTGTAAAGAGGAAGTTTTATGGAAAATCGAAAAAGAAAGCACACTTCTACTTCAAGTTAAAAATCTCATCAGAAGGAAAGAAAAGAGGTAGTTAACTGTTAATATCAATCCACCTATATGACAGTGAATGATGGACAGACTCATCAAGATAAAAAAGAGACTTGAAAAAACAGAAATATTGTTCAACAGAAGGATTCTGAGAATACCATAGACCGGACATATGAGCAATGATAACATTTTAGAGAAAATGTAAACAAAAAGGACACATAATTAAAATCAGAGAGGTAGATAAAATTTCAAGGATACATGCAGCTTTGTGCAAATTAATTAAAACAACTACTTTAGTTTCCTTTCTTTCACTGTACAGTCAGTTTTAGAACCACTGAAGTGACAGAGTGTAATCAATTCCTATTTTTTCCTTAGATTAGGTCATTCACAGTGGTGTGCAGTAATATGTTTCTATTTTCAGAGTGTATGATGAAATTTCTTTGGCCTTGAAAAATATTGCATCATCTGTGATTGCATCAGATTTTCATTATGCCCAGACACTATTGTTTTGACTGTTGATTAGTTGTCCTATGGCCATTGTCTGTGATGGATGTTACTCCAAGGAGGTGTATGAAAATTCTAACTCTACATGAACACAATGCCATGCCTTACCAGTGAGCAAGTCAAAGTACTATCAACTTGCTTGGAAACTCCTGATTTAAATCCAACTGAGAATCTGTGGTCAATCTGCAAAGAAAGACTTTGTGGAATGGACATACAAAGTACTAACATGTGCACTGGGTCATGTTTCATTGAAAAAATATGAAAAAAGTAAATAAAAATGGAATTATTCATTTTGTTTCAATTGATTTTCCCAAGGGTGTAATGAGGAAAAACTCATATTAAAACCAAAATTGAATGATTGATTTATTTTCTGCAGCTTATCAAATATTTTCAGCTTATTTAAAGCCAGAAATACTTTTTTAGCCTGTAATACTTTTTTTTGATATAATAATTATTTAGTCATACAAGTCTTACTAGTTAGACCATAGCTGAGAGGGGAAAAGTTTGGTTTGTTTTGTTTTACAGCATATCAACCACAATGGTTATTTAATGCTGACAAAATTTGCTTTCCTTTTTTTCAAAAAAATGTATAGCTGGTAATATTTAGAAGAAAATGTATAGTTTGGTTTGGTATGTTTTGTTTTGTGGCATATTAACCTCAATGGGTTATTTAATACTGATAAGATTTTTATTGCTGGTAATATTTTCTTTTTTCAAATATTTACTGCTGATACTAAATTTTTAAAAGTATTTCTGGTAAAAAAATCTATTTTTACACTTTCATAGTGTTTTGAGTCAGGTTGTGGGGTCAACTATTTGCCCATAGCTGGGACCCTATCAGGTGCTACCACCCTGGTCAGGGTGGACCTGGAAACACCAACAATTAAGAGGTGGTCCCATCCTCCTCAAAACCTTTTGATCAGAAGCATGGCTGCTGTACATAGTTTATCATCTTACCCAGGATGCAGATGCAGCTTATCATCATACCCGAAATGCTTACACAAGTGTGGATGTTAACTATTTGCCCCTTAGCTGGGACCCTAACTGGTGCTACCACCCTGGGTCAGGGTGGACCTGTGAACACCAGCTATTAGATTGTTCCACGCTCCTCAAAACCTTTTCATCAGAAGCATGGCTGCTGGATGTAGTTTATCGTCTTACCAAGGATGCGGATGTATTTTAATGACATACCCAGGATAGGATGTAGTTTATTGTCATACCCATGACGGGAGAGGAGAAGAGTTGAATTCATTCTTTTCCTAATGGTATTTGGACATAAGTAAATATAGTGAACGTGACTGTAATTGATACAGCTGTCCAATTAACAATTCCAATCCATTATCCATTAAATCAGCCACACATCCAAGCTTACCTCACCTGGTATTCCCAAGGGGTCACCCATCTAAGTACTAACCAGATTTGACAAGGCTTAACTTTGCTGATCATACAGGAACTGGTGTTTCAAAATGATATGGCTTAAAAGAAAGAAAGACAAGGACAAAGCAGCACATAACCTATCTAATGAACATGTAAATGGAATGCAGAAAAGTATGTGGGAGAGATAATGAAGCTACAAAATCTCCTACACAAGGTAATGGAGGAAAGCGTGAAGAAAAGATTAAACATCAACTGCAAGAAGACAGAATGTATGGTTGTTAGCAAAAGAATGAGCCCAAAGTATGAATTGCAAATTGGTGATACTAGAATCAAACAAGTGCAGAAAATTAAATATCAGGGAAGTGTCTTAAGAGAGGACAGTAAGCGTGACACTAAAATTCAAAAGGTGTATTGGGATATTCAATGAAGCATTCCAAAGTCTAAGCAGAATAGTTAGAAATATTTTTCTAGAAACAAAAAAGAGAGTACAATACTGCCACTTGATATCTGTCCTTCTATGTGACAGTGAGTGATGGACAATCTCCTGAAAGAGATTTGAACTAACAGAAATGTGGTTCTACAGAACGATGCTGAGGATATCATGGACCAAACATGAGCAATTATGATCTTTTTAACAAAATGGAAACAAAAAAAGGAAACTACTTAACATCAAGGAGAGATCAGTTGACATTTCTGGGGCACATAATGAGGGAGGAGGGCTTGGGAAATCTGATACTCACAGGACAGATTGAAAGCAAGAGAGACAGAGGAAAATAAAAATTAACATACATAGCGAGCTCAAGTAAATTGATGGCGGAACTTGGTTAAAAAGAAAGACAAATTTTAGTAAGAACTACAAGGGACAGGATGTTGTGGAGAGCCATGATCGCTTACATCATGAAGGAACATAATACATAAAGAAGAAGAAGAAAAATGTAAAGACAAACCTTACTAAGAGCTACAACGACAGGAAGCTGTGGAGAGCCACAGTAGATAGGAAAAGAAAGATAATAAGCCTGTTTATCTTTGATTCTTGTCCATCCATACACTCAAAAGTTTCTTGCCTGGTTCTTGTCAGTGGAGGAAGCAGATTTTTTTTTTTCAATATAGAAAAGGAAAAATGTTGGAGGTTGAAATGAAACAGGAATGTTGAAAAGGAAAGATAATTTCGGAAACTCTTGAGCAGCTAATATGAAACATTTCCTACAAATTAAATTACTATTAAAGAAAAGTATACTGAAAATGAAAATATTTTGTTCAAGCATCAGGAATATTTCTTTATAAACAACTTCCTACATTGTTTTCTGCCATCAGATTCAATTTGGAACTTTTGCCTCCAAAATACCGTCTCCTTATTTTTTTTTTTTTACTGGGTACATCATGTTCTTTTAATCTAAAGCCTCAAAATTACAAAGAAAAGTGAAAAGATTACCATAGCTAGCTTAATAGAATCCAGCTTCAGGATAACTTTTAACCTTTATTTATATATTTGGTTAGGGTGTACCCAGATGCCATGCTCTGTTCAAAAATAACTAAGAAGTCCTAAAAAAAACCCTGAAGTAGGAAAGAACAAATTATACCCAATTCCCATTAAAATACAAGATTTCTTTTACTTGCTTGCAGCTTTTGAAACATCTTTTTTGATAACAATTTATACTTGCCCTCAAGCACTTATTTATTGGAAGGGAATTGCTCAGTGCTTGAAGGAAGCCAGTGAAAATAAAAGTCTTCATCATATTTCAGTACACCTCATTCCACTTACACTGGAACACATTGGGATCACAAGATCTCCCTTCATGGCATTGCCAAAGGTGCAAACAAACAAAAACTCAATTACAAAATTATCTTGATGAGCCATATAGCTAAATTTATCATGGATTTTAATTAATACAGCTTGTAGCAGAAATAAAACCAGAAATAGTGCAAGATCTGTGGGGCTTTGTTCAAGACACTGAAAGAAGAATTGGGATCTTTCTGATCAGATTACAAATGCTGAAAAACTGATACCTTTGTTTTATTGATCAAGAAGAAACATTTGTTAATTTTGTGGGGAAAATAAATTACATCGATAAATAAGATAACAATAATGAATAATAACAAAAATGCTTAAAATATTGGATTTTAAATCAGCCCAATGAAACCAGAGAATGCTTTCTTTTTAGTTATATATATGCAACATGAGTAACAACAAAATTGTCCAAATGTTAGATTAAGCTTTGAACCATTACATCTTAGAAATGATTAAAGATATCTTACTGGAATTCTTCAAGGATTTTATGACACTGTTAGACACTACTTTGAGCAATAAGAATGTATAATTACTCTCCAAGCTTAACAGAAGAATAGTAATAAAATCAATCATAAACAAAAATGACATGTTCATCATTAATTAATCATAACTAAAGATCAGAAGGTCATGAAGTATTGAAATGAAGTTCAAATATATATTATTCCAGGATCATTTTCTAACTTATTCAAGATGATCTTCACTCTCTCTAAACTTCTAACTTTCTGTCCTGGAGTAACATGATGTCTTAAACTTTCCTCTCTCATATACCAAACGTCTTATGAATTGAGTTGAATCTTTTCTAATTGATCTCCTTAGCTCAATGATGATCCCTCTTCCTGATGTGATCTCCTAATCCAGTTTTCCTTTTTACTTTTCCCTCTTTTTTAAACTTATTCACCATTCTCTTGATGGTTCTTGAATGGACTTTGAAGACGGAAACCAGAGTATGAATGCTGGTACTATTACTGAATACCTGAATGATCTTTTTCCTCTCAACATTGCACATTTGGGAAGACAGTGGTTCTGACACAAAATGATTTTAACCTGTCCTCTTCCTAGCTGAATAACTCAAAGGGTTTTTCAGATATTAATCATTTTGTGGGATAGATAATTATGCTGTTACATAATTTGGACAATTTTTATGTAGCACCCAGTATATATACAAAGTACACAAACACACACACACATATATATATATATATATATATATATATATATATATATATATATATATATATTAGTAGTGTCACTTATCAGATAAAAGTGCTAGGAAATACACAGCAGTTTGAAAAAGTGAGATTAAGATAAGCAGGTTGGGTATTGGAATTTTTCAAAGTCTTAGAGGGGTTGGAATAAATTTGGTTGGTTGAAAATTTGAAAAGAGGGTGGATTAATCTAGAATTTAGTTTATATGAATAAAGTCGGTAATATGAAAATACAACATGAAAAAAAGTCAGTGAAACCAGTTTATTGATCCTTTTTAGTAGAACTGAATCTCTGATGAAAAATGGCTCAACCCAAAATTTACAAGAACCCTTAAGAAAAATTCTGAGCAAAAACACTAAAATTCTATATAAATGACATTACTGGAAACTTCTTGCAATTAGAGAGAACCTATATATTAAACATATCTCTCCTGCTATCAACCTTACTATATTTAACAGTGGAAGTGTAATGTTAAAAGTTTTTTTTTAAATTGTCGAGATGAAATCCGGTCTCAAATGAATGACAAATGCATGAATGAAATATAGCAAATAAATGTATTGATGTAATAATACAATTGGTAATACAGTTAGTAGATCCAGAAATGCGGTTAGTAGCAATAATAATATATATACAGTCTGGGAAATTAAGTATCAAAGTAAGACTTCCTTCTGAGTCTATGTGCTCGCAACTGTGACTCCTACAAAGCAGTTACCTCACACTCTCACTGTATCAGTGTATCTCCCTTTTACTGTCTCTGTTACTCCTGGGTATTCACCGGTAGCAGTACAAGTACACACTGGATGAGTCCACTTGTATGAAAAAGGGGTGGACCCTTAACAAAAATAGAAAGAGTCTCACATGAATTTGAGGTGTGCTCATTCTGCAAAGGCTCTGAATAAACACTCCTATTCAAAACAACTCAAAAATAAAATACGATTTAAACTGTCAAAACATGAGGAAAACCTAATACCACCAAAAATGAAACTCTCTTGAAAATGGATAAAGAAGTGACTGATTATGCATACACATACTATAAACTTTTTTGTAACTGTGGCTTTGTTAGTTTGTATGGCATGCTGTTTATTATAGTATAGTAATAGACAACAGAGAATGTAACATGGAAATCTAAAGCACAAAATTAAGACTAGAAAATATCAGTAGAAACAAAGATATCCATTTGAACTGCTGTGTATTATCTAATATATATGTTAATGTATACTGATCAACTTTCTCATGAATAAAATCTGACTTGAAGTAAAATTATCTGGTTCTTCTTAAGAATGCTGAGAATTCCATAGGCAGAACATGTGAGCAATGAAGAAGACTTAAGGAAAATAGGAACATCAAGGAACATCTTTCTGATTATATACGTACTTGCAATCAGAAAGAGACAGCTGAAATTTCTAATGAGAAAAGGTGGCCCAAACATTTTGACAATCTCAAGAGAAGAAACTAAGGATAGCTAATGCATTTGATGGTGCTGGAATCTGTTTTTATTAAGTCCTACCAGCCATCTCTCTATAAGCAGAAGGAGTGATTGATTGGCTTGAGCTTAATTAGCCTATTAATTCTGTAATTTTATATAAGATTTGTTTATATGTGTCCATTTTTCATCATCGGTTGAGTTCTACTAAAAAAGGATCAATAAACTAGTTTCACTGACTTTTTGTTGTGTTGTATTTTGATATTACTGACTTTATTCACATAAACTAAATTCTAGATTAATCCACTCTCTTTTCAAATTTTCAACCAACCAAATTTATTCCAATCCCTCTAAGACTTTGAAAAATTCCAATACCCAACCTGGTTATCTTAATCTCACTTTTTCAAGCATTTCAATGACCTAAAAGATAAAAGTAATCAATTTCTCTTTTTTTATTATGTGTGAATTGCCATGATCTATTGAAAAAAGCAATGGAGTGGTTTCTTGTTGTCTTTTCCATGGTTGTGAATTGAACAGTCCTGCTCTTAGACTGCCTGCTATTCAAGGTTTGTGAGTGAATTCCATCCTGCTATTTAAGCCATAAATGTGGGAAGAAGAAATGAATTCCTGCTTTCACTTAGGGTAATTGCATGAAAGTAAACAGTCTAGGTTAGAATATGA